CCATCCAAGTGAGGGAAGAGGGTGCAGTGGATGTATCGCATGTCTGCTATCGTTACAAACTAACTCACGCGTTACTCACCGTCCCCGCTCTCATCCTACTATGGAGAATACAGTTACATTGTGGGTAACGACAGTTAAACTGTCTGATGTCATTTTCCCTGTCATTATAAAGTTCAGGCTGAACAGATGCTCGGATTGCGCATATGCGAACGCAGGCTCGCTGTGCGTCGGGGTGACGAATTATCACAGGTGACTGCCCACAACTTCGAAATGGGTCAGGAGTGTAACGTTGGGGCCATGAAGGCAAACGCCAACACCGGAAACAAGATTACTTGAGGGTTGATTGGATCCTGGGCGTCGGAGGAGAACTTGGTTAATCGATGCATAAATCTGGCGTTAGCATACGAAGTCCTGCGTAGCCACCCTGTGTCGCTGATCCTCTAATACGTCCTTTAACTATCGCTTGATCTTCTGTTGCGGTTATCTCCGAAGCTGGACTCCTGCGTTGTGCCGGAAGCTTAGAAAAATAGACACATTGTTCTGATATTCTGCCGGTCCTCTTCCCTACTCAAACATACATCTAGAATTCGGGCGTGTAAACAGTCCATGCATATATTTATTTGAAAAGTCAGGTTGGCAAACACGTGTTTTCGGTTATTTTTCGTCAGGCTAGTACAGTTACATGGAGGCATGAAAATATACAAAATTAGCAATGTTTATAGGTGTCTCAAAGACTATTAATTCCTTAGCGCTCATCTTCCCCACGCCGCCCGCATGACCAATTCGGAGTGTTTTGGTCTTCAGGGCTAGGGGAGGGGAATAAGAGGGCATGTGAGTGATGTTCTTGGATTGAGTACACGGAGTACCCGTCACTGTTATTAGGGATTTGAGGCGGCATGTCGTCATAACTTGAGATTGGCGTTGGTCAGCGTTTTCTAACATAATATTTTTGAGAAATAGGTGCATAATAGTCAATCGTTCGCAGATGGCCCACATGTATGCAGGTCTTTATCACTCGTAGAACATCTGTTATAACTCGGTCACTGACATACTACAAACAAATATGTCAAAACCAGGGGATAAAATGCATCTGCGGAAAGGGGGCTGCGTAGATTATATGCATCTCCTCTTTTAGTCTTAATTTTAGGAATCCTTACAGTCCCCTAAATGTTCCTTTTGGAAAACAAGATCTGAATGAAGTAAAAGAATTACCCGTTTTCATGGAGAAAGCAATGTGTTCCTCCTAAAATACCTACTTAAAAACGTGAAATATTAGACCCGTGATATATTTCTTAAATTTTATGATATAAGAACTGTCAACTTACAAAACATGCATCCGTTAAGTCCTCCTAATAATAACTGACACCTTTCCAAACAATTTATCTATCTGGGTCAGGCATACCGAGTCAGCCGTAGTCAGCTTCCGACCTGCACCATCGAACGTCCACTGGCTAGTACCCGCAATTAACTGTCTCTTGTTCTGTTACTACTATTATCTCTGATGATAGACTCCAGCGCAATATCGATGACTAGTAATAATAGAGAAATGATTGCACTATTCAGCTAGGTTTCTTCTTCACTCATGCATACACCTGGGACGAGAAAATTTGTCCCCTTCCCTAATGTGCGAAACTTTTGTCCCTTAGAACCATGCGGTTATGTCCTAACGGAAAACGAAAGTGCGATTGCACATTAAAGGCCAAATAAAATTCTGAATAATAACCCTTAGCATAACGTGATTCTTACTGGTTTCTGATGCAGGCGGAAGCGGATTCTAACAAGAGAACATCCATTTGACAATTCACTAAGTTTTCTCTAGTTGTCTTCTTCCGGGATATATTACAGAGCGTGTGTTAGACGGCCTGTGGATTGCTATTGTACAATCGGTTTGCTTATTTTATGTAGAATTTTACTTCCGGTTTTTATTCGTCTAAGACAACACTGCAAAATGCTTAGCTTTTCAATTTCTGTAAGATTTCCTCAACGTACTTTGAGATCAGTTCGTCTAATTACACATCCGATGCGTGCCGGATTAAAGTGATGCATGAATATGTGCATACTTTGACCTAAGAAGCGGTATGACCCTGGTTTCATCGGCTGTGGGCTTACATCACCAGCCATGATTCTAAATCGCGTGTAGGGTCTCTATTGGCTGATGAACGACTTTAGCTTTGTATTCAAACTATATTTAAATTTGATGCAGACAATTGATGCCGTGCCAATACATGGCCCCTCAGTAGGGGGGGGGGGGGCTGTATGGGGACTGGGCGAGTTGTAGCCCCCTCATTATCTACTCATGGCTCATAAATATTGCGCAGGTAATATGACGCAGGCATGCGTACACTTTTCCGCCTCAAATTTCCATCTTCAGCAAAAAACATTACCGGTTTCCTTGTAAGATTTCAGCTTCAGTTTACTGGTGGGGTTGTGACAGTCAAGAATGTGAAATCAACTTAAACCACGCATAATAATTTCGTTTCGTCTAATGTCAGAAGTCAGGGAGCTGTGAGGACTGGTTTATTTTACACACAGGGCAGGTTGCCGTAAGTTGGCTGTTTGCTTGAGACAGAGAGAAGCATCCGTTCAAGGAGTGCGTCAGTCGCGGTGTTTTGTTTACGCGCGAATGAATGCCCGTGTCAGCAGCAAGGGGTGACTGGCTGAGTGTTGGGTGTGTGATTGGACAAACTAGGGGAGGAATAGGGGGGGGGGCATATACTCACAAGGCGTCACGGGTATCAAGCCAGAGCATTCGACGCGTGTGAGGTGATGAACGTTTGTGGGGTCAGCCGAGAGTCACTGAAGTTGGACCGGGGGTGTCCCAATTCTAGTCGGCGGGGGTGGCCGTGTGTCAACAGTCGTCGCGGCCATCGTTCGACAAAACGGAGCCGGAGAAAAAGGGGGACTGGAGCGACTGATACAGGGTCCTGAAAAAATGCGGGTGTTTGTTTGACTATGTCAGTTGCCGTACTCTCAGCTGCCAAGCAAGCTGTGGGCTGGTCTACGTGAGTTTCTTAGTGTCAACGAAGGTCTACATTTTGTCGATACTGTGGCGCGTAATCCAATGCCATTTGTATGTCTTTTTCACTGTATGTTCATTTATGTATGCATTTAAGTATTGTAAGTTACTTTATTAACAAGTAGATTCTATTGGTGATAGGCGCCATCTGTAGCAAACTCGGT